ACACAAACCTTTGCACACAACAGTTCCCTCTATACCCGGGGGCATGAGTGGAAAGCCATAGGGAGTGGATGTTAGTACGGCCGGTTGTCGAATGGGTCTATAGGTGCCCGTAGACCGTTGTCGGAAAACATCACTCAAGGTGATAACCATGAACTCAAGTCCGACAGTGCGTTGGAACTTTCCATCGACTTACGACGAGAGGAATTGGGTCCCTATAATGGGGGCACCTTGGGGGCCTCAAATCGGTGAGAACAGTTAGAACCTCCTTGAATATGCACTTTTCTGCAGGATACCCCTACCTCGTGATTCGCTCGTGACTGTTCGTGGATGAGTGAATTGTTTGTGCATTGCACTACAAGAAAAATACAAAATAGCGACCGAAAATAGCGACCGAATTTTTTCGGTCGCTATTTTGCGACCGAATTTGCGACCGACCAAAATAGCGACCGATTTAGCGACCAAAATTTAGTAGTCGCTATTTTGCGACTGAATTAGCGACCGATTTTACTGGTAGCGAGAAAATCGGTCGCTAAATCAGTCGCTGTTAAATTTTTTTCATAAAAATATAGTTTGCGACGACCGATATTGAAAAATTATTAAAAACAATTGCGACCGAATTTAATTCGGTCGCTAATCCTAACTTTTGAATTTTTTTAGCGACCGATTACATTTCAGTAGCAATATATAATAAGCAACACATTGCTATCCAAAAGGACAAGTAAAGAGGGGTATTTATAGAAATCTAATTTTGTCTAGGACAGATAAACAAGAAAATGGACTTTTAACATGAGAAGAAGGAGTTCCCAAAGGCCCAAAAATGCCATTAGAATAGTAAAGCATGGCATCCAAAAGCCCAAAGAAACAAAGGGCTAGAATAAGGAGCCTGGAACGAGCCGTTTCGAGCTTTAAAAAAGAGCCCCATTCTGACCTAGTTTGTTACACTAAAATTTTAATTTTGGAACAGGTCGTTCTGCTTTGGGAATGGGCTATTCTAGTTTTAAATTTTGTATATAACACAAAGGCCCAAAACGGTCTGTTTCGATATTCGAAACAACCTGTTCTGGTGGATTTCCATGCCTTTAAAAGTGAACCTCGTGCACAGTGTTCAAGGACTGAAAAAAAAAGGCAGAGTGAATTGTTCATTAAAGTTGTTATAGTTAGAATTCTTTTCTTTCTTTAATCCTTCTTGTATTCTTTGAGAGTTGTGAGGAATTTTGCAGTGTGAAAGGTAGCCAAAAAGTGCCTTAAGACCGCAACATTCAAGGCATTTATAAAAGCGCTCAAAGAGGTATTTTCATCAAATCTCTTATCTCTCTTATCTTTTTTCTTCAGTCATAAACAAACCTATAATTAAAAGCAATCATGTAGACGTTTTAAGGTAAATCACATAAATTTAAACTCTAACATGTAAATAATCATCAATAAAGGGAACCAAATATTTAAATAATTACTCCATATTGTGCTAGTTTCATCATTAGGGTACTGATTTAGGGTGTTGTAGGATGCCTAACACCTTCCCTACACATATAACCGAGCCCAATTCTAGTTATAAAGGCCAAGTTTGCATTTTTCAAAATCCTTTTCCTTTTCCTTTTCCCGATGTTTTGAGCAAAAAATCGTTGGGGACTCTTACGAACTACATTTCAAAACCATCAATTAAGGTTTAGTCCGGTATTCGGACATTCCT